ATATAATTAATAAGAATTTAATTAAATTAATAAGAATTTAATTAAATTAAGAATTGCTGTAACTTTTTTTTTCTGCAGTCTATGCGCGATTTTTGCTGCGTTTTTGCTATCAATAGCTAATTAGGTAGATCGCATTCTATATCTGCCGCGTTTTTGCAGTCACGACGTGACGGCAGACTGTGCTCGATTTTTGCTGCGTTTTTGCTGTCAGTACTGGTTATGTCAGATTGTGCTGTATTTTTATCGCGTTTCGCTGTCACGATGTGTTAGCAAATAATGATTGATTTTTGTTTTATTTTTATCGTTGTATTATGTTGGCAGGCTAAGCTGTTAGAAACTAAGCTTAATGAGGAAGCAGCAGCTTGATATCTGCTGTAACATCATGATCAAGTTTGCTGGCATACTGCTGACATACTGCTGGCATACTGCTAGCATTTTGCTATCTGGGTAATATTTTATCGTTTTGAAATGTGATTTTAACAGCACGAATCGTTAAATTAATATGATAATGTAATAATATGCACCGAAGATATACGATCACGTTAATGAATAAATAAAAATATGTTGTCCAAAGTCGACGCGTTATTTAATACGCCTCCGCCTCGCTTTCGCTATCCCCCTCACCTCATATCATTTAAAGTATTAAAGGTTTAAATTATTAGGTTACACACATTATTAGATAATCATTTTAATTTAGAAAGGTTCAAATTTTTGCGGTTAGCTTTCAAAGGTTTAAATTTGTTGGTTTTTTTAATTTGCGAGGATCTGTTTTTGAACATGTAAGTTTGTCCAGAATATCAGCGTATGAACGATCAAGACCATCAGTATCTGTTTTTAAATTAATAGCGTTTTCTCTTGACTGCACCAGTACAACACTCAGCTTTTGCACTAGTTCATCTTTCTTCCTTTTCTCTCCAGGAGAAGGGAAAAGGAAAAAAGATGAACTGGTGCAATCACCCTACACTGGCAGCCAAGAGAAGACGCTGTAAGACCATTACTTTGTGTCTTAATGTAAAGCATTTCTGATATTAATCGTTTATGACAAAAACTTTCGCAGTCCAAAATATCCACATTATTCCAGTCAAATTCATGATTATAATCCAACCTATGGTCAGTAATAACCGATTTAGAAGAAGTGTTTCTCCGTATATGATTTCGATGTTCATTAACTCTTGTTATCAATTTTCTCTTAGTCTGTCCAATATAGGTTGCATCACAATCATTGCATTTTATTTTATAAATTACATTCATTTTTGTATCATGTGGAACAGGATCTTTTTGTACCTTATTACAATCGTTCAATTTATTAATACTAAAGAATGATACTCTATGATACCACACCATATGCTTAGATCGTAAGATTATGCTTTAATTTCTATGACATTGTAACATCTATAAGAATCGCTGAAGGACTCGTAAGTTCCGAGAAACGTTCGATATTATTTTTACATTATTTTATTTTTTTATATATTTTTTATTTTTTATTTTTATTCAATGCTGAAAAACTATCAGCGTCGCGATTTATGGGGGGACTATACATACGCAGTATATAAAATTCACACAATTAAAATAAGCACTGTGATCTAGCTTTGACCGTAAATGGCTTTCTTCTTCTAGTTTATTATTGTTTATCAATTATACGGTCCTAAAAAAGTTTCTAGTATTTTTTATTTTTATGCAGCGTTTAAAGGCAAATTATGTAAAAGAATTAGATGGAATTGTAATAAGTGAACAACCATGTAAAATCTGCATTATGGGTAAGCATACTAAACAACCTTTCATATATAAATATAAACGAGCAAATAATGTCTTAGATCTTATACATTCTGACCTTTGTGGTCCAATGTCAATAAATTCGTCGATGGGCGGTGCAAAATATTTTTTGACCTTTATAGATGATCACTCACGTAAAATGCATGTATATTTTCTTAAAAGTAAGAGTGAAGTATTATATTATTTTAAAACGTTTAAAGCACTAGTAGAAAAACAGTCTGGAAGAAAGATTAAAACAATAAGGACTGACAATGGTAGAGAGTGCATAAATTATGAATTTAAAGAGTTTCTTAGGTTTCATGGAATTAGATATCAAACGACAGTACCATATAATCCACAACAAAACGGATTGGCTGAAAGAGCAAACAGGACTTTAGTAGAACGTGCACGTACGATGATGCTCGAGGCTAATTTGGATAAAATCTATTGGGCTGAAGCAACGTCAACAGCAGTATATTTATGGTAGTCAATAGGACACCTTCAAAGGCGCTATTTGGTAAATCTCCGGAAGAAGTATGGAGTGGAAAAAACAACCAAAATTATATCATTTGAGAGTTTTCGGTTGTAAAGCTATGGCTATATTCCAAAGGAAAAAAGGTATAGTTCTATTAGATATCTATTATCGTATGCAGCTAAGAAAGGATTAAAAATAATACACTTAGACGTAGAAACAGCTTATCTAAATGGAGAATTAGAGGAAAATATATATATTAATCCACCTATGTGTATAAAGTCAAATATACCTGAAAATAAAGTTTTAAAACTTAAAAAAGCTGTCTATGGATTAAAATAGAGCGGAAGAAATTGGAATATAAAACTTGATAACACTCTTAAAGATCTAGGATTAGAGAGATTGAAGTCAGATCCTTGTGTATATATTTTAAATTCAGAAGAGAAAACGTTAATAGTAGCGGCATATGTTGATGATATGATGATGTTAATTATGTATGATGATGATCAGATAGGAATAAATATTAAGAAGAGTCTAATGAAGAAGTTCAAAATATGAGACTTAGGAGAACCTCAAGAATTTTTAGGAATGCAGATTAAAAGGAAGAGTCTAAATGAAATCTCAATTCATCAAAAATCATATACATCGTACGTTGGAAAAATTCAATATGATCGATTATAAACCTGCAAAAACTCCAATGGATCCTAATGCACAAACAGAATCGGCAGAGAAGAAAGAAACAACTAAAGAAAACGAATTGGAAAACGTACCATATTTGGAGGCTGTAGGTAGTCTTTTATATATTAGTCAGATTTCGAGACCGGATATAGCGTATGCTGTAAATACGGTGAGTTCATATTGCAAAGAACCGAAATTATGTCATTGGCAAGCTGTAAAACGTATAATGAGATATTTAAAAAGTACGATTGATTTAAAATTAACGTTTAATAAATATATTGATGATAATATAACAGGTTATAGTGATGCTGATTGGGCAAATGATCCAAGAGATAGGAAGTCAATTACAGGATGTGTATTTGTATCGTCAGGAATGGCTATATCTTGGTATAGTAAACGGCAAAGAACTGTAGCATTATCAACTGTTGAAGCGGAATATATTGCACTGTCTTTTGCTTGTCAAGAAGCAGTTTGGTTTAGAGAATTTAGAAGAGAATTACAAAGAAAAGATAATAATAATTTAATAAAAGAAGCAATAACATTGAAATATGATAGCAATGGTGCAATATGTTCTGCTAAAAATCAAATAACTAGTCAAAAAACAAAACACATTGATGTAAGACATCATTTTGTAAGAGAAAAGATAGAACAGAAAATCGTATATGTAGAGTATCTTCCTTCAGAAGACATGTTAGCAGATATTTTCACAAAATCATTAAGTGGTACAAGATTTAATATGTTAAGAGATAAAATAGGACTAAATTAAAATTTGATTAAATATTTATGTTTAATAATTAAGTGGTACAAGATTTAATATGTTAAGAGATAAAATAGGACTAAATTAAAATTTGATTAAATATTTGTTTAATAATTTTTTAATAAAAAAAAATAATTCTTATGTTAGTAATTAATTGATTTAATAATGAAGAAATTTAATAATGTTTAAGATACTTTATATATTATCCAAATGAAATATGCGTATAGTGACTAATTGTAAGTTAGAAATGTTAAGAATGTTTAAATAATAAGAAGATTATATTTTAATATTAAGAATTAGAAGTTTAAGAAGATATTTTTCAAGGAGGCGTGTTGGAATATGTGAAAAATGGACGTAATTAGATAATACTATCGATTGTGATGTTCGATTATCGAGAACAGATATTCATCTTTCCGGTTTATCGAGATCGTTTCCTGTACGTCACTCGCTCACTCGTTTGTTTACCCGCCTTTGTATTCTCATTATAATAAAACGTTCATGTGCTCGAAGTGTGTCTAATTAATTAAAGATTATTATAAGGCCTAACAAAAATAAAATATGCTAGCAAGCGCCGTCTGTCGTTTAAAACGTGAAATGAACAACATTTCCGACAAAACGCCGTCTGTCGTTTAAAACGTGAAACGGACAACGTTTCCAATGGCGATGATGACGTATCTTAATCTGTCAATGTCAAAATTTTCGACATTTCAACTTCACATCAAGATATCTTCTTTCGTAGAGTACGTAGAAAATAAAAACATATTTATAATATAATTTCAACAATAAAACTAAATTAAGACTATTAAAAAGTTGATAAATTCAGCCATTTATTGTGAGATCCGATAATCTCGGGTACATGGAACTCATCGACTCGCGTAAAGATAGGTGCGGTCTCGCGCTTCGCGTTCACTTGGCGCGAAATACTACCGTGTCTCTTGATATATTTTATTAAAAAATCTTATATACCGTTCGATTTAGACCGTTTTTTCTTTATAAATAATAATTATTTAATCTTATAGAATTATCTTAGAATTTCGCAATGTTACTATTTTGAGTTAGCTAGTTGTAATTTAAAAATATGATTCGACTACATTATTACAAATATTCTGGATTCAGACATTATTTTCAGACCAATGTCTCTTGATATATTTTATTAAAAAATCTTATATACCGTTCGATTTAGACCGTTTTTTCTTTATAAATAATAATTATTTAATCTTATAGAATTATCTTAGAATTTCGCAATGTTACTATTTTGAGTTAGCTAGTTGTAATTTAAAAATATGATTCGACTACATTATTACAAATATTCTGGATTCAGACATTATTTTGAGACCAAATTTACATGTGTGAGTATAATATAAGCATAAGTGATGACGAGCGTAACTACTATAATTATTTTAATATCATTTTAATAACTTTAGCTTTTTGCGAGAAACTTTTGTTATCATTAAAAACATACGCAAAGTAACATCTTCAGTATTGCTCTCTGCCCCTATTGTAACCGCCACGTTGATAACTATTCCATCCACCTTGAACTCTGCCTCCTCTTCCTCCTCTGCCTTCCCTGTCATGATAGTAGAATCCACCACCTTGATTGTTATCCCCATACGAATCTCTCTGGCCGGAATATTGCGGTTGTTGATAATTCTGATTGTAATTTTGACTGTAATTCTGATTGTAGTTCATGCCGAAATCTCCGCGATAAGATCCACCTCCACCTCCGCCACTGCTGCCTCTCTGATATCCTCCTGTATCTCTATGATCCGGATAACATTCTCTATGTCCATGTCCAGAATATTGAGATTGCTGCTGATAATCCAAATTCTGACCAAAATTACTACTAGCGTCTTTATGATCTCGATAGCCGCTACCACCTCCTCCACTTCCGCCTCTACTACCTCTACCACCTCCACGTCCACCTCCACCTGCTCCTCTTCCGACCCTGAAAGAAAAGAAAGAAATTTATATACACATACATATATATACACTATCATTAGGAGACGCGGTAGCGTCTCCGGCCATGTTCAAAAACTGTGAAACGCTACAAGTCTCTTATCCCGAGCCACCAAAGTCCATTTTTGGGAGGTGTATAATTACTAAAATATAAAAATTTTTGAATCGAACGTTATATATCCTGAAAGGCGGCATCGCCACGAGTAATTTGAGCCAAAAAAATTTTAAATCGGTCAAGCCGTTCTGGAGATATAAGCGGTCGAAAAGTGGTGATTTTAATGAAAAATTAAGAAACGTCTCCTTCTTCTCCTTCTCCTTCTTCTCTATCCGCATTTTTAAACTTTCCAACATCCTCTCTCACCTTTCACTCGCACCTCCACCATCTTCGACCCACCGGACCATCTCCACCCGCCCTTCCCCCTCCCCC